TGTGTCTGTGTCTGTGTCTGTGTCTGTGTCTGTGTCTGTGTCTGTGTGGCATTGGGAGTTGTGCAAGAGATGATGGGGAGTGGCATTTTTGATTAGGGATAACATTATGACTGTACTTTGGGAGGATATTCCTGGGAATACATCCAGGGAAGTTATTTGGGTGGAACTAAGAGTTAAAATTGGTAACCAGTTTTAAAGTCTCCCTACCCCCAGCCTCGACCCACGTCCAACCCGCCTCGATGTGACATAACCTGTCCATCTTCTCTCCCACCTCTCTGCCCCAACACTCCCTACCTATATTGGCCTATCACCATCCCACCTACCTTCCCCAGCCCCACCCGTCCTCTGTCTATTTATTTCCTAGCTCCCTTACCTCTTCCTATTTCTGAATAAGGGCTCTGACCCGAAATGTCAACTTTCCTGCTCCTCTGATGCTGCCTGGCCTGCAGTGTTCCTCCAGCCCCATACTTATTGTCTCATTTGGATACAGAACTGGCTCGAAGGTAGAAGACAGGATGTGGTGGTGGAGGTTTGTTTTCAGGCTGGAGGCCACAAGGATTGGTGCTGGGTCCACTGCTTTTCATCATTTATATAAAAGATTTGGATGTGAATATAGGAGTGTGGTTAGAAATTTGCAGATGACACCAAAATTGGAAGTGCAGTGGATAACGAAGAAGGTTACCTCGGAGTCCAACGGGATCTTTATCAGATGGACCAATGGGCCGAGGTGTGGCAGTTGAGGTTTACTTCAGATAAATGTGAGGTGCTCCATTTTGGAAATCAGGGCAGGACTTGTACACTTAATCATAGATCGTAGAATCCCTACAGTGTGGAAACAGGCCCTTCGGCCCAACAAGTCGACATCGACCCTTGGAGCATCCCACCCAGACCCATCCCCCTATAACCCACTGAATCTACACATCCCTGAACACTACGGGCAATTTAGCTTAGCCAACCCACCTGGACATCTTTGGACTGTGGGAGGAAACCAGAGTACCTGGAGGAAACCCACGCAGACAGTCGCCCGTGGGTGGAATTGAACCCGGGTCCCTGGTGCTGTGAGGCAGCAGTGCTAACCACTGAGCCACCATGCCCCCCTTAATGGTAAGGTCCTGAGGAGTGTTCCTGATCAAAGAGACCTTGGATGCAGGTTCATACTTCCTTGAAAGTGGAATTGCAGATAAGTAGGGAAGTGAAGGTGGTGTTTGGTATACTTACCTTTATTGGTCAGTGCATTGAGCTCATGTTGAGGCTGTACAGGTCATTGGTTAAGCTACTTTTGGAATACTGTGTGTAGTTTGGGCCTCCCTGTGATAGGAAGGATGTTGCGAATCTTGAAAGAGTTCAGAAAAGATTTACAAGCATTCTACCAGGGTTGGAGGGTTTGAGGTATAGGGAGAAACTGAATAGGCTGGGGCTATTTTCCCTGGAGTGTCAGATTGACAAATCTTCCTCTGGATTGATGATTTGAAGTTCGCTGAAAGATGCCTGTTATCATTTCAAAAAATAGAGGTGACTACTGTGATTTTAAAAACTCACTTACTCTGAAAGGCAGCATATAGTTAATTTGCAGATGTATTTTTGTTGGATTATTTGTTACGTTGTATCCTGAACTGTTCCATAACCACCACAAATTATTGCTGGAACGTTTTATTACTGATTAATGCCAGATTGACAGTGACGCATGCATGTCATCAAATCATGCCTTTAAGGTCTCAGTATAAGTCTCTGATAAATATTGACTCTACAATCATGCTTGTATTTACAATGCATCTCTGTTGTCCCCTAGAACACAGCACAAGGTAAAACAGCTTACTGTTAAATTAACCGTTCACGTATTTGCATCATCTAATTTTCTGATGGTCGTTGAGTGCTGTGTCCCTTTGTGTAGTTATGGATTTGGCTGCCCTTTTTGAACAAAACGGTGTTGTCTTCCCTTTAGAATTGTAGAATTTTACAGTACATAAGGAGGCCACTCGATCCATTGTGTTTGTACAGGTTCCCAACAGAGTTACCCAGCTAGTTCCATTCTCCAGTCCTATCTATAGTCATCCTCTAAATTCATGACTTTCAAATATATGTCCAGCTCTCTTTTAAAACCTCTAGTGCATCTGCCTTCACTCCTATCCCAGGTAGTACATTCCAAATCTCAGCAACTATCCGAGGAAAGAATCTTCTGCTCCTCTCACTTCTAGCTGTTTTGCTGACAATCTTGAAATGGTGACCCCTAGTTACTGACAAATCAACTAGTGGAAACAGAACATCCCTCTTTACCCTGGCAAAATAGTTCATAATGTTGAATACCTCAATGAAGTCACCTCTTAAATGTCTCTGCTCCAATAACAATAAGCCCAATTTCTCTGACTTTCATTGTGTCTAAAATCCCTCATCTCTGGTATCATTGTAGTAAATCTCCTTTGCACTTTCTCCAGAGTTTTAACTTCCTTTCTTAAATAAGATGCCCAGAACTGAACACAATACTCCAAATGTGGCCTGACCAATGATTTGTTGAGGTGTAACATCACTTCCTTGCTTTTATACTCTATGCCTCTATTTCTAAACCCAACGATCCTATAAGGCTTCTTAACAACTGCTTCAACATGCCTGACCACCTTCAGAGAATGAAGCACTTGAACTCCCAAGGTCCCTCTGCTCCTGTACTCCTTTCAAAGTTGTACTATTTGAGCCTGTATCGTCTTTCCATGTTACTTCTTCTACATTTCATCTTGCCAATGCCTGAAGAACATCATTTTCAACTCGTCTCCAGTCTGAGAAATGCCCATCTATACCTACCACCTGTTTCCTATCTTTTAGCCAACTTCTAATCCATGCTACCAAGGGCCCATCAGTCCTAAATATTCCTAATTTGCTAACCATACTGGACCTGGTATTGGGAAATGAGCCTTGCCAGGTGATTCAAGTTTCAGTGGGGGAACAGTGACCATAATTTCATAAGTTTTCATATACTTTGCATAAGGGCAAGAGTGAACCTTGGATAAAGGTGTTAAATTGGGGGAAGGCCAACTGTAACTGTTTTAGGGAAGAATTGGTGAATGTGGATTGGGAGCAGCTGTTTGAGGGTAAATCCACATCTGACACATGGGAGTCTTTTAAAGTACAGTTGATTAGAGTGCAGGACAGGCATGTTTCTGTGAAAATGAAGGAATGGCTGGATTCAGGAACCTTGGATGACAGGAAATTATCAGCTCAGTCAAAAAGAATGGAAGCATACCTAAGTTTAGGCAACCACAAACAGATGAAGCCTTTGAAGAATGTAGAGAAAATAGGACTGAGCTCAAATGGAGACTTAGGAGGGCTAAAGAGTCTATGCAATGTCCTTGGCCAGCAGGGTTAAGGAGAATTCCACGGCATTTTCTGCATATATTAGGAACAGGAGATCGCTAAGGAAAGAGTAGACCCACTCTAGGATAAAGGAAAGAGATTATGTCTGGAGCCAGAGGAAACGGGTGAGATCCTACAAGAGAACTTTACATTGATATTCTCCAAAGAAAGGAACGTTGAGGTTAGGGAAATGTGTGTGTATATAGGCTTGGCAGATCACCATAAGGAAGGAGGAAGTGTTTGGGTGTCTTGAAAGACGTTAAGGTACACAGATTCCCAGTATTAGATGCGTTCTGTCTCAGGATACTGTGGGAGGCAAGGGAGGAAATAATTGGGGCCTTAGCAAATATCTTTGCATCTTCTTTGGCCTGAGGCAAGGTTCCAGAGGACTGAAAAATGGCTAACCTTGTTCCTTTGTTTAAGAAGGGAAACCGAGACAATCCAGGTAAATACAGGACGGTGAGCCTGATGTCACTGGTGGAGATGTTGGTCAAGATACTGAGAAATAGGACTTATTCACATTTGGAAGCAAATGGACTTAAGTGTTGGGCATCATGGTTTTGTGTAGGGAGGTTTTGTCTCACCAATTTGATTGAGTTTTTTGAGGAGGTGACAAGAATGATTGTCACAAGAATGACACCAGTGGATGTTGTCTATGTGGATTTCAGGAAGAATTTGATAAGGTAACTCCTGGCAGGCTGGTACAAAAAGTAAATCTCTTGGGATATGGGGTGAGCTGGCAACATGAATTCAAAACTGGCTTGGTCAAAGAAGACAGAGTGATGGTGGAAGGGTGCTTTTCAGATTGGAGATCAGTAACTAGTGAAGTTCTGCAGGGATCAGTGTTTGTAATGTGTATATATATAAATGATATGGAGAAAAATGTAGGTGGTCTGATTAGTGAGTTTGTGGATGACACCAAAATTGACGCAGTTGCAGATAATGAGGAGGATTATCAAAGGATACAGTGGAGCATAGATTGCAGATTTGGGCAGAGAAATGGCAGATGGAGTTTAATCTAGACAAATGTGAGGTGATGCGTTTTGGAAGATCAAATTCAAGTGTGAATTATACAATCATTGGCAGAACCCTGAGGAACATTGACATACAGAGGGATCTGGGTGTACAGGTCCACAGATCCCTGAAAGTGGCAACGCAGGTGGTTAGGTCGTCAAAAAGGCATACAGCACACTTGCTTTCATCAGCCAGGGCATCGAATATAAAAGTTGGCAAGCTATGTTACAGCTGTACAAAACTTTAGTTTGGCCCCATTTGGAATATTGCGTGGCCACACTACCAGAAGCATATGGATGGTTTGGAGAGGGTGCAGAGAAGATTTACCAAGATCTTGCCTGGTCTAGAGGGTTTTAGTTATGAAGAGAGGTTGAATGAACTCCGATTGTTTTCAATGGAAAGACCGAGGTGGAGGGGCGACATGATAGAGGTCTACAAAATTGAGTGGCATAGATAGGGTGAATAGTCAGAGACTTTTTCCCAGGGTGGAAAGGTCAAGTACAAGAAGGCAAATGTTCAGGGTGAGAGGGGAAAATTTTAGGGTAGAAATGAGGGGAAAATTGTTCATACAGATGGTAGTGGGTGCCTAAAATGCATTGCCAATGGAAGTGGTGGAAACAAGCATGTTAACAACGTTTAAGGTGTGACTTGATAGATACGTGACGGGAGGCAAACAGAGGGATAGAAACCATGCAACCATGCATGGGAAATAGGTTGCAGATCTAATGAAGATTAGGAATTGGCGCAGGCTTGGTGGGCCGAAGGGCTGATTCCTGCGCTGTTTTGTATTATGTTTTAGGAGCAGAAACCAGCAGTGGCAACAGCAAGACATTTTTACATATACTGAAATAAAATAATTGTTGTGCACCATGTGCATTCTGTAGTACCTGCTTAACCATGATGCAGTGGGTAACACTCTTAACCCTGAACCAGAAAGTTTTTAGTTTATGTTGCACACCTGAGAGTTGGGCACAAATCTTGGGCGCAAAGTAGAGGCTCCAATGTGGTGCTTTTGGAAGTGTCGTCTTTCAAGTGAAAGGATAGACCAAGCCCTTTCTGCCCTGTTAGTTGAATGTGAAAAATAAAGTCTGTGACATTATTTTGAAGAAGAGCACGGGAGTCCTGTGTGACTGACAATTATATCTCACTGACACTGTAAAGCAGATTATCTGGCCATTATCACATTTACTTATTTTGGAATTTTGCTCTGCACGAGTTGGCTGCCATGCTTACTACATTACAGTAGTAACAACGTTTTAGAAGTGTTTTGGACAACTTGAAGTTCGAAACGGCAATGCAGTTAATAAATCCAAGTCTTTTTACGTCCTGGGCAGGTATCGAAAAGGCAGGGAACAGTGGCATGTCGCTTCCTTTGGACGTGGAAACATCACTACCTCACCCCCCAACCAGCGGCCACCTTATGGCTCAAAAAATGAAATTGGGACGGCAGGTTGCAGAGGAAGGTGAAACGGGTAATGTTTCAAGCTTAATTAAAAAGCACCCAGGTTTTTAAAAATCCTTGAGTTACATGGTTAGAATTTAAGCACTGAGTACTGCACCAAGACATTAGCCCATAGTTTTGAGTACCTGAACTTTAGTCCCTTGTCTGTTTGGATCCTATTGCGAAGAACATGTCTTTTGACAAAATTCTACCATAGATCAATAACCATGACAAAATACAAATGTTCATATCTTTGCAATTTCTTATTTGTAGCGTTTTTTGGCAATGTCTTTGCTGACAGTAGTTGTATTTGATGCATTTTATGGACAAGAAAATACTTCTGTGCAAGACAAATGCAATAATGTAAAATTAATGTATAGAGCTTTTCTTAACTTCAGTACAGCCAAGGTAAAAACTGAAATTGCTGGACGAAGTCAGTATGTCTCACAACAGTTAATGTTGTCAGTCCAATGACTCTTGTTTGGAACTTCAGATCTCTACCATCTGCAGTATTTTGCTTTTGTTTTACTATAGCACAGTTGGGTAAATAACTGAGTTGTTTGTAGAGTTTCTTTCCGACCATTTGAACTTGGATTAAAAAGTAAAGCATAACCCTTCTAGGCTATTAATGTTGTATTTAGGGCTGAGGCCAGTAAAGACGCCAAAGTTAATTTGTGGACTTTGCTGAGTTAGCCAGTATCTCAGCTGTCATAAGTATATTGCATTTGCTTGCAGTGTCCTTGAGCCACACAAGTGACAAAAATTAGTTATGGTTACTAAGCCTGATGGTTATCCAGCAGAGCCTCTATGTTTTGGTATTAATGCCAAGATTAGGATAGGCTAGTGAGCTTCTCCCACGGCCAGGAAGATTTGTGGAAACAGTTTTGTTATCAAGGAATATTGAAATAGTCAATATCAAGACAGCTATTTAGGGTTTCTTTTCAAAATGAGATGGATGGGCAAGGTAAATGCAACTTTGTATTTCTAAGATGTGCCAATGTTCCATTTGTAAACATTCGGTCCTTTGTCGCCAGTCTTTTTAGGATCAGGATTCACTCAAAAGTGATGTTTATTTTGCTGCACATGAAAGATTGTTCTCACATTCCTGGGCTTGTTAGGGGTCAGGTTTTTTCTGCATTGTAAGGAACATATTTCTGGTCGGAAATTAGCTGTTAAAATGCAAATTGTGTGTTTATTTTTGTATTTCTGTACGTAGATGTTTTCATAATTAACATAGGATTTTGAACTCTGATATCTTCGCTTGCAGTAGAGAAGAGGCCGCCCAAGAAACCAATTCGATTTTCTTCGTTCCTGCCAAGCCCTCAGGAACTATCGGAGATTAGAAGCAAGAAAAAGGTAAGTAATTCATACAGTTATGAGCATTCATTTGAAGCAAAAGTAAAATATTACTTTTGTTTGACTAATTGGTTCGGCCACTTTTGGACAATTGTGTGTAATTCTGGTCTTCCTCCTACATGAAGGATGTTGTGAAACTAGAAAGGGTTCAGAAAGCATTCATGAGGATGTCACCAGGGTTGGAGGGTTTGAGCTGTAGGGAGAGGCTGAATAGGCTGGGGCTTTTTTTACCTGGAGGGTGGAAGGCTGAGGGGTGACCTTCTAGAGGCATATATTGGCATGGACGAATTGGACCGAAGGGCCTGTTTCCGTGCTATGACTTTGTATGACTATGTGACTCTAATTGACATGCAACCAGTTTGTACTCCATGTTAAGCAGTCTCTCCTGTGTTCTTTCTCCAATTCGCAAGTGGTTTGGCATGAGATGTTATATAGCTGCCTTGTTGCAACAGTATTGCTACAGATCAAATTGCTGCTCAAATAACCATAAAACTATCAAGGTGTGGAATGGTTTCTGGCTTTTTCCATTCTATATACCTGCATAAAACCCTCTTCCAGAAGATTGTTATTTGGAGGAATTTCCTCCTACTCTTCCTGTCCCCTTCCTGTCCCCAGTAGTCTTCTCAGAAAATTAGGCAGAAATGAATAGGTACAATATAATTAAATTATAGTTAAAAATAATTAGATTCTCCTTAACCCAATATTCAACTGTATCCATAAATGTAGTCTACATCCTCAAAACTCTTAATGTCTTTGGGTCCTTAGAAGCTCTCCTCGGAATGCCCATCATTGGAAGTCTTAGGTTAAGACAGTTAAGTATCTCTGTAAATCTTTCCCATTGATGCCCAGCTCCTTTTTGTTTAAGTGACACCTCCTCCAACTTTGTCCAAGCTTTTGGGCGCCCCCAACTAATGTCCTCTTCCTATCTTGTCAAAAAATTTTAACTGCAGATTTTATCACAGCGATTATCAAGTTAGACCATAAAATAAAGGAACAGAAGTAGACTGTTCAGTCCCTTGAACCTGCTGTACCATTCAGTAGGATTATGGCTGATCGGACATTCTTAAGTTCTACTTTTGTGTCCTTATCTTGTAATCTTTGACCAAGAGTCTATCCAAGACACACTAAATATACACAAGGACTCTGTCCCCACAGCTTTCTGTAGCAAGGGATTCCAAAGAGACAACTCTCTGAGAGAAGAAATTCCTCCTCATTTCAGTCTTAAATTGGTGCCCCATTTTTTTCCGAGACCATGCCATCTCTTCCTAGCCTCTCCCATGAGGGAAACGTCCTCTCAGCATTTATCCCCTCAAGCCCCTTAAGAATCCTATTTGTTTTAATAAGATCATCTCTCATGCTTCTAAACTCCAATGTATCCATGCATCTCATAATTTTGTAAACTACTATCCGCTTGCTCCTCAGCCTCCGCCATCAAGTGAAAAACCTTATTCAGAGTTACAACAGGAGACACAGAATTTCTGGTAGGATCTTGGAGATGGGTTATCACACTCCCAGAGTTGTTACAAAGGCAGTGAGAAAGCGAGTCACTCTGGCATCAAGGAAATTGAAGAAATAGGCAGTAATTTGGCAGAGGGGTGGGTGATTAAAATCAGGAATAATCGAGAGGCGTTCCAAGGTCCCAAAGGATGGTGAGGTTCAAGAAGATTACAGTTATAGTAAGGGGGAGGAAATGGAGGGATTTAAAAACAAGGATGAGAATTTGTAAATCAGGATGTCGATTGCCCAGGATCCAGAGTAGGTCAGTGGTTATTGGGTGAACAAGGCTTGGCTCTGGTTAAGTCATGGTTGGCAGTATTTTGAGATAACCTGAAGTTTGAGGGTAAGAGTCTTGTGACCAACCAGGAGAGCACTGGAAGATTTAGAGTAAATGAAGACCTGGTTAAGGATTTCAGGAGCTGATGGGCTGAGACTGTGGAAATGTCAGGTGATACGGCGGTAGAAGCAGCCGAGCCTTACTGTGGCATGAGAAGAGTTCAGAGTCTTAACTCATCATCAAAAGAGATATTGAGGTGTTAAACGGACTGATGTAGTTGCGGATCATTACCAGAAAGGTGAGTGAAGTCGGCAGTTCAGGAGTTTGAAGTCATTGTCTTTGATCAAGCCTCCAGTGCTCTCAATGTTTAATTGAAGGAAATTTCTACCCATCAGTACTGAATGTTTGATAATTGTCAAATAATTCAGCAACCGTGGTAGTCGAGAGAGGTGGTGGCAAGGTACAACTGGGTGTTGTTTGTGTACCTGTGGCAACTAATTATTTAACTTCGAATTTAATATTTTGTGTTTCACACATGGTAATATTTCTTTGCCTGTAAATGAGGTGCTGGTGCAGTGTAATGTCATTGGCGAGCAATTAAGAATCGTAGAATCCCTACAGTTCAGATAGAGGTCATGTGGTCCATCAAGCCTGTGTCAACACCCTTCCCCCAAAGAGCAGCTCACCCAGATCCACCTGATCCCAGCATTTACCGTGGCCAGTCCACCTAACCTGCATATCCGAGGATTGTGTGAGGAAACCAGAGCGCTTGGTGGAGATCCACACAACATGGAGGGAATGTGCAAACTCCACACAGACAGTCACCCAAGGTTGGGATCGATCCTGGTTTCCTGGCACTGAGTCACTGTGCCGCCCAAAGAACCTGAAAATGTCCTGAGTATGGAGGTTCAAATCCTGCTGTGATGGATGGTGAAATTTATATTCAATAAAAATGTGGGATTTAATAAAAGTTAGGGAAATGACAACCATGTAAAACCATGAGGAGTTGAAGTAGACCTTTCAGCTTATTAAGTATACTCTGTCATTCAATGAGATGATGGTATTCGAGGAGAACTCCCAAAAATTGATTGGGGGAAGCTGTTCACAGGTGAAAGGATGTTTGGCGTGTGGGAGGTTTTCAAAAAGGAGTTAATGAGAGTTCAGAGAGAGTATGTTTCTGTTAGTGTTAAGGGCAAGGCTGGAAGGTACAGGGAACACTGGATGACTAGAGATATTGGGGCTCTGGTCAAGAAAAAAGAGGAGGCATATGCTGTGTACAGACAGCTAGGATCAAGTGAGTTCCTGGAGGAGTATGGGGATGGGGGGGGGGAGGTGGAGGTGGTGGTGGTGCAGGGGGGTAGGTGGGAGTACAAGAAGTAAATGAAGGAGGGCAGAAAGGGCACATGACGCAGTTGTTTAAGGAGCATCGTAAGAGATTCTACAAGTACATTAAGAAGAAGATTTACAAGGGAGCAAATAGGGCCATTTAAAGATCAACAAGGCTGTCTATGTGTGGAACCGCAGGACATGAAGAGAAATTAAACAAATGTTTTGCCTCAGCATTTACTGCGGAGAAAGTTATGGAACAAGGGAAATTGGGGAAATGATTAGTGATATTTTATCTACATTTCAGAAGAGGAGGTGCTGGAGGTCTTAAGATGCACAAAGGTAGATAAATCCCCCAACCTGATCAGGTGTTGTCCCAGAACATTGTGGGAAGCTAGGGAAGAGATTACAGGGCCCCTTGCAGAGATATTTGTATCATTGACAGCTACAGGTGAAGTGCCAGAAGACTGGAGGGTGGCTAAATGTGGTGCCATTGTTTCTGAAAGGCTGTGAGGAAAAGTGAGGAAGCTGTAGACTGGTGAGCTTGACATCAGTGGTGGTTAAGTTGTTGGAGGGTATTCTGAGAGACAAATAACGTGCATTTGGAAAGGCAAGGGCTGGTTAGGGATAGTCAGCATGGCTTTGTGCATGGGAGATAGTATCTTACAAATTCATTTGAGTTTTTTGAAGAGATTACCAAGAAGATAGGTGAAGGCAGAGCAGTAGACGTCTACATGGACTTTAGCAAGGTCTGTGACAAGATCTCACATGGTAGACTGGTTAGTAAGATTAGGTCGCATAGGATCCAGGGAGAGAGAGCCAATTGGATATGAAATTGGCTTGATGGTAGTTGACAGCGTGGTGGTAAAGGGTTGTTATTCAGACTGGAGGCCTGTGACCCATGGTGTGCGGCAAGGATTGATTCTGGGTCCACTTTTGTTCTCCTCCAAATTGTTGATATAACAGAAGTTATGGTTAGTAAGTTTGCAGATGACACCAAAGTTGGTGGTATAGTGGACAGTGAAGAAGGTTCTCTAAGAGTACAAAGAGATCTTGATCAGATGGGCCAATGGGCTGAGAATTGGCAGAGTTCAATTTAGATAAATGTGAGGTGTTGCATTTTGGTACGGCAAACCAGCGCACGTCTTATACAGTTAATGGTAGGGCTCTGGGAAGCGTTGTTGAACAGAGGAAGCTAGGGGTGCAGATTCATAGTTCCTTGAAAGTGACACTGCATGTAGACATGGTGGTGAAGAAGGCATTTGGCCTCTTGCCTTCATTAGTCAGAGCATTGAGTACAGAAGTTGGGACATCATGTTGAGGCTGTACAGGACATTGGTGAGGCCACTTTTGGAGTACTGCATACAGTTCTGGTTACCCTGAAGAAGACCATAGGCATAGGAGCAGAAGTTAGGCCATTCGGCCCATTGAAGAATGGATGTTGTTAAATTAGAAAGTGGGGGGAGAAAAGAGTTTACCTGGATATTGCCAAGCCAAGAGGGTTTGAGTTATGAGGAGAGGGTGGATAGGCTGGAACTTTTTCCCCTGGAGTGTTAGAGGCTGAAGGGTGTATCAAATCATGGGGCACGTAAATAAAGTGAATAGCTGAGGTCTTTTCCCCAGGTTGAGAGCATTCAAACGTGAAGGGCACAGGTGGAGTTGTAGGGGAAATATTTGGAGGGTACCTGAGGGACAACTTTTTCACAGAGTGGTGTGTGTGTGTAGAGTGAACTTCCAGGAGATGTGGTGAAGACGGTTAAAACTTCTAAGAGACATTTGGGCACATATGTGAATAAGAAGGGTTTTGATTGATATGGACCAAACACAGGCAAATGGGACTTCTTAAGTTTGGGATAGCTAGTCAGCTTGGACAAGGTAGACCAAAGGTTCTGTTACTATGCTGTGAGACTATGATTCTGAGTAGAAACCCAAACTGTTCAGCCTTTACTCAAAAGACAGTCCCTCCATACCAGGGATCATCCTTGTGAACTCTCTCTGAACTGCCTTCTTTAACCTTTCTAATTACTTGCTGCACCTGTATGCTTACCTTCTGTGTTTTGTGGATAAATACCCCCAAGTTCCTCAATGTTGCAGCTTTCTCCAGTTTTTCTCCGTTTAGATAATATTCTGTTCTTTTTGTTTTCTCTTCCAAAATGAACAACTTCACGTTTTCCCACATTTATACTCCATTTGCTAACTTCTTGCATATATACTTAACCTATCAATATCTCTCTGTAGATAGTAGGAACTGCAGATGCTGGAGAATCTGAGATAACAAGGTGTAGAGCTGGATGAACACAGCAGGCCAAGCAGCATCAGAGGAGCAGGAAAGCTGACGTTTCGGGCCTAGACCCTTCTTCAGACCCTTTTTCTGAAGAAGGG